TCTGCTGTGTCTGAGAAGAGCACCGGCTCCCCGGGCGTGGGTGGCCGTGTGACAGTCCCCCACAGACGAGCTGTCCGCCAACATCCGCGGTGTGGAGCCTGTGAGGCCGCCTCTGCTTCTCTGCCCTCCTTGGCGAGGCACCGCTGACCTGGAAGGTGGGAAAAGGAGGCAGTACGGAGAAAAAGAGGAGCAAAAATACACCCGAATTCTCCACCTGAACGAAGACGTGAGCTCTGTTTCTGTCTGGTATCAACCCAAGGGACTGACACTAGGCGGCTTCGCGGTGACCGCAGTGAGGCTGGCCGCCTGCTGACTGAGTCACGGCGCAGCGCCAACCGCGTCACCAAAATAAGGAGAAAAGGGAAATTGCTCCCACCTCCCTTTCAAGTTAAATCTGTGCTGTGTTCCTGGTCAGATCTGAACACAATCGTGACTTTCACTGCGTAGATTAGCAGTGATGTCTGCAATACCGTTTTTATTTGATTGCAGACTCCTCTTTCATCTTCCTAAGTCTAGAAGAAACTATGGGGAAAAAGGATATCACTCACCCCCTGATTAATTGAAAGGGAGGGCAGAGTTTTATTCTCAGAATTACAGTTCTCGACTAGAAATATAATTATTGTTTTCTCTATTTTTTCCTTTCCTTTCCTTTGTTTTCCTTCTTTTCTTTTTCCATCTTCAATAAAAAAAAAAAAAGAAGAAGCTGAAAGAGACATTATAGCTGCAATACGGTTACTTCCATGAAATGTTTCTTCCACAGTGCTGGGAACTCCAAGATAACAGCCTCGTATTCAAATGTGAGAGGCAGAAAATGTAATTTCCTTGAAGCATTAAGTGAGACAGAATAGGATGGTTTTTTAATCATCCAGAGTAAGTGAGATACTCAGAGTACCCAATGCACAGTGTCCATTTTCAGCACGTTTCCAATTCTAGTAACAACTCGATACAATGACAATGGCGTTCAGGTACAGATCATTTTTGCTCTTGCTGTTCCCGGAATAATGACTGTAACTCACGCCTGGAAAACAAACTACCTTGGTGCACAAGTACAGGGGAGCGACAAGCGCCCAGTTCTAAAGCAAACTCCGCTCCCGTTTACTTTTCAGATGATAATTTCACTTACGCTATTGTTCTGTCCAGCTGATCTCATAGAATTCACCTTCTTTTAACTCTCGCCTCGCGTGTTACTGCTACCTTCGCCGCTCTGCAGAGGTGCTGCTCACCGAGGTGACTTTCTGGCAACTGATTCACCACTTCGGGCACCAAATCATCCATCCTATCAGTTCTAATTCCCTTCATTTTCAGGGGTCGAACTATGAAATTCTCATAGCACACTGGCAGAAACAGTTTATCAAGTGATTTCACACCCTCCGTGCTGCAGGGCCCACAAGGGAAGGGGGGGATGGCGGGCACCGGCGAGGACGTGAGCAGCTCAGGGCCTTCTGCGAGGTCGACTTGGAGCAGGCCCTCGCGCTTTCCCGGGACTGTCTCCATTTCTGTCCCGGAGGAAGCTGCCGTGCCACTCAGCATGGTCTGGCCTAATCCTGCTGTGGTTGCCTCCCTGTCCTCTCTAGGACACTCTGGACCTATATAGATCTGAATGTTTTGTGTGGACCTTCGAGCCCATACTTAAGTTGATTAAATTGTTCCCTTCTTGGAAACTGAGGCTTATCTTCATCTGAAACAGACAGACGAACTTCTGCCGTAACACAGTAAGGGGGAAAATGTCAAAACACCCCATCTGTATTTTTTAGCACTTCCCATAAGAGAAATCTAAGAAATGCTTTTTAAACAATTTTTATTTATTCTTCTTCTTATTATTAATTTGCTCACAATAGACAGAGAGACAGAGAGAGAAGGAAAGTGAGAAAGCAAGCTGCCAGGTCCAGGACTCAAACCTTAGTCAGTCATGTAGGAGTCCAGCACCTTAACCACCACACCACTCACCTGCCCTTAGGAAATGCTTTTATTAAAAACAAAAACAATGAGCACAGTCTGTGCTGCAGCCAGAAGACGCTCGTGTTTGCCGTGCCCACCCACGTTGCAGCCTGGAATGAGGTGCACGGTGCAGGGGGCTGTGGGGCGTGCAGACCCTGCATTGCCCCTCAGAGCTCCTGCACCACCAAAGAGGCTCACATGCCAGTCTCTGGGCTGTCGCCGCCTCTGGACATCACCGGTCACGTCCCTGGTCACTTGCTCCTCCACCTCCTACCTCCCTCATATGTGCCTGGGAACAACCGAGACCAGTCCCACCTGCCATGTCTGCTGGGTCCCAGACAGCATTTCATCTATTCCATCGGAAAGCTCTTCCCAGTACCAATGATTTCAGTGGACCTGCTCAGTTAGCACTGTAGGTCAGTAGACCTAGTAGCTGAGTTCCATTTTTGTCCTGCCTGTGAAGTGCATTGCTAGTACAATACTAGCGCATCTTTCTGGAGATGTGCTAATACTCACAGGTTTTTCAGATGGGGAGATTGAATCACAGAAAGTTTAAGGGAAATATCTAAGGAAGCCAGTAATAAAACAGCAAACTAAGAACAAATGACATTTCACCACAGTGTGGCTTAACAAGTGGCTGAAAGGTAAGCTCAGCCAGGGCCATCCTCAAAGCGCCGTGGGTAAGTGCTCTGCAGGGGAAGCTGGATCCCACGTGGTCGGCCAGGGTTGGAGTTCTGCCCCCTGGCTTAGTCCTGAGGAGATGGCGAATGGGAGGAAGAAGGACTGTGGTGTGAAGACCCTTGTTGTAGGGTGCTTTGGGTCTCCCTCTCTCATCTCCCTCTCTCTCTCTCTCTCTCTGCTCCCTCTCTCTCTCTCTCTTTCTTTCTCATGCTCTTGTGTGGCCCTGGATTTGAAAAAAAAAAAAAAAATTAATCCCACAGAGGAAATTCCCAGGGTAATTGAAACGTTCTATTTCTTTTCTTTTTTGGAGAGATTTTTGCTATAGGGCATGTGTGCTCGCCAGACAGACAGAGACAGAGAGACAGAAAGCGAGAAATCACCCCCCAGGGGGGATGGCCATACCGCAATCCCTTCTCCTCCATTCTCCTCTTGGGATCTTGGGCACGCACGCACACGCGCCCGGCGTGAGTTTAAGCCACCGGGCCGAGGACTCGAACCACAGTCGACTACATGGGAGTCCAGAGAAATAGCCATTACGCTAATTGCTGGTCCCAAAATGTTCTATTTCTTGACCAGAGTGATGGTTTCACAGGTCTATGTATTTACCCAAACTCATTGAATTGTACATTTAAGATCTGCACATTTCCCTGTTTAAATTTCACCTTAAAATTTTAAAACCTGGGGCCAGCAGGTGTCATGGTGGTTAAGTGTGCTGGACTCCCACATGGCTACCTGTGGTTCAAGTCCTGGACCTGGTGGTTTGCTTTCTCACTCTCCCTCTCTTCCTCTCTGTTTCTCTCTGGTAAAATTAATAATAATGATGATGATGAATAAAAGTAAATAAAAAAATTCTTTAAAATTTTTTTGAAAGTCCATCTTTCTGATAGCTCTAAACTAGCAGGGCCCCTAGGTGGCCTGAAATCATGTCCAACACTGCCCCTCTTGCTTACCTTTTTTTTTTTTTTTGCTGTTTAATTCTCTAGAACCAGTTCTTTAAAAAAAAAAAAAAAAGTTGGGAACCAGCAGTTAGCGTAATGGCTATGTCACTGGACTCCCACGTAGTCGACTGCGGTTCGCGTCCCAGACCCAGTGGCTTAAAACTCACGCCTGGCACATGTACGTGCGGGCCCAAGATCCCGAGAGGAGAATGGAGGAGAAGGGATTGCGGCGTGACCATCCCCCCTGGGGGGTGATTTCTCGCTGTTTCTCTGTCTCTGTCTGTCTGGCGAGCACATGCGCCCTATAGCGAAAAAACCTCTACAAAAAATAAAAAATAAAAAAATAAAATAAAAAAATTTTTGTATTATATTACATCTAAAAATTTATCTTTGTGCTTTAAGCATGCTATTAAAGGGGCCACTAGGTAGCATAGTGGTTAAGACGCTGAACTTCCACATGGCTGATTGTGGTTCAAGTCCTGGACCCAGCAGCTTGAAAATTACACCAGGCACGTGTGTGTGCATGCCCAAATCCCAAAATGCCACTGACTAAATGAAAGCTGTTGAAGAGTAAAAGCCCACTAGGCATGCCAAGGGGAGATGGTGCCCCTGCCCTCCCAGGGTCTCCATTCTAATAAACCACATGGAGAGAGGGCTTTTTAAACAGGCAAGATCGTAGTTGTTCCCTCGTAACTCACTTCTTTTCACTTAGCATCATCTCACATGGACGGATAACTTTGCAATGCCATTTCCGCTGATGCGTGTGTTTTACCACAGAGCTGTAGTAGTTTTTATCTGATACATCCAGGGTTTGACTAGCTAGACCTTTCAGCGTTGCCCACTACCGTTCCATGAGCATCTCACCGAGTCCTCCGAACGCCGCTGGTGTTAATAGCAGAATCACTGTAGCAGTGGCCGCCAGCTAGAGGACTCTCTCTTAGCAGCTCTCACTTAGTCGGTGGCATGAGCTTCTTCTGTTCTTGTGATGTGAGAAGCCACAGGTCACTTTAAGTAGGAGGACACGTCCGCTCACATGAACACAAGTAGTGCTTCTCCCCGTAGAGGCCGGAGGGCGATCTCTCACTAGAAGAGTCTGTACCCTCCTTCCAAGAAATGCCGCTGTCTTTCCGGTGCACCTTCATCTCCGCGTCACGTGAGGATGGGGAATGGACGTCTGCAGCTGCCATGCATTTGCCTGAGCCTAAGCTAATGCCTTATTTTGATGAAAAACCCAGGACAGGACAGAGAAGGCGACCTGCCCCATGTACCACCAAGCCCTCGAGGAACTGTGGTTGGGAATAAAGGCTGGAGTGGAGTGGGTCTGGTCCTGCAGAGGAGGGGCCTTCAAAAGTTCATGCGAAACGGAATTACAGTACAAGCTTATTCTGATGCAATAAAAAATTGAAACAAAACTTCGCATAGATTATTTTAATAATACGCATTTTCCAAGAACTTTTTGAAGACACTCTGACATTTTCTAAGAAACCTCTGATGCTGGACGACTCTTAGAAAGTTGCAAGTTTGGCAAATTTACATTATACAGAAAATCAACGTACAGCAAGTCCATTACTTAGAATGTAGAAAAATACTCAGAAAACTCAGCAACACCCTTGAACTAATTGTTGCCCAGCAATTACAGGCAAAGAACTGTGGCAATAGCTTACCTAATATGTAAAACACTGTAATTAAGTTCATTGATTTTGGTGCAAAACAATTTTGAATCTATGCGGTTTTCTCATAATATGGGTTTTCTACTCTCTCTAATTTTATTTTTCTTAAAATAATTGCTTTTATTTTATTTATTATTATTTTTAAAATTCTATATAGGGAATGTGCACTCACCAGAGACAGAGAGAGAGAGAGAGAGAGAAAGCGAGTGGCCAGGTCCGAGACTTGGACTGTGGTCGGCCATGTACGAGACCAGCGCCGTAACCATCACGCCTCCTGCTGGCCCCATCATTTTTTTTTTTTAATGAAGAACCCATGTGTATTTAAATTAAGAATTGGGTTCCACAGATGGTCAGATAAAGGACTATACTAAAAACACTACATTTTCTAAATATCAGCAATATTCAGTTAGAAATGCCAAACTGTTTAGTTTCACAACTGCATCATAACAGAGCCCTCTACCCCTCGGGCCGGAGCTGCTGCAGGCAGGCACTACAGACCAACAGTGCCCATGACACGGCAGGTGTGGCTGGGCAGCTGGCTGTGCTGGAGATCAAGAAGGGGAGCCTGAAGCCAGGTGAGGGCTTGGGAGCCACTTGGGGAGGTGATATGCGGCTTTGACCGCTCTCGGAAGCCTGAGCCCTTGTGGGGCTTGCATGGAGTCCAGCCAGAGTGTGAGCAGAGACTGGGAGGAGGCAGCTGTGGGGCGCAAGGAGAGCTTGGGTGGGAGGATAGAGCCTCAGCGAGGTGCAACTCCACCACCATCAGACTTGCGGTTCCTACACCACCAGGCAACACAACCTTTGAATTATGCAGAGAACTGGAACTGAAAAGATGAAGTATCCGGATAACTCAAGCCAGAATTACGGTTGGGAGTCTAGTTATCTGAACTGGCAGGGATGACCGCCTCCGGGAGCCCACTCAGCTCTGCTCCAGGGCTCCCGCCACTTCTCCTAAGGGGGCGCTGGAGTGCTGTAACTGGCAGGTTGGCTGGCAAGACCCGTACGTCACACTCACATAAAGCAAATTAGCTCGTTTTCACCCGAGACAAGTGCGCAGCGGGCCAGATGGTGGTGGTAGCCTACACTACTTGCATCGGCTCTCTCTGCTTTCTGAATTCACTCTTGAACATTGTTAATTGTGAGTTTGAGCATGGCTGGACAAGCCAAACGGAGTTCAGGAGAGAACTAGAAACGGGCCGTGTCCCGGATAAATGTAGACACCAGTAAAGATAAGGTCAGTTGGTGAGTCGGTTTTTACGGACAGAAGTACTTCAAAACAGAGCATCCTCTGGGTCAAATGTGGCCTGGGCCAAGTCCCACCTCTAGGGTAAAAGAAGATTGGGAGCTGCTCCCAGCTTCGGCTGGAAACAAATAGAAGCCAGTCACAAGGATGCCCAAAAGTCAAGTCTCAAGAAAAAGGAGGCTCTTCCCGACCCTCCAGGTTGGTCTGTTTACTCTGATGGAACTCTCTGGAACATTATTCCACTCACGCTTCACTGTGCTCGTGTGGGTGCGTTCTGTGGGCGTTGGACGTAGACCCTGACAGGCACTTTCCTGGAGCACTAAAATGTACAGATGACACACATCAAAGGCAGGCTGCAACCACGCAGCTGGATTTACGCAGAGCCACAGGAAGACAAATGACCCGCTCGCTGTATCTCCGCAGGCTCTGGGGGCTGCTCTCGCCTGCAGGCCAGGAGGTTGTGGCTTTGGCTTCTAACCTCAGACCGGGATTAGGTGCTTTCTCAACGCCGACAGAGCCCAGGGGGCCGAGAATAGGATCCAGGCCCCGTGGGAGATGCGTTTACCAGGACTGCAGAAACTCCTCCATTCCCATACCCACTGGGGACTCTGATCTCTGGGAAACAGCTGCTTCAGTGCATCCTGGGGGCCTGACAGCACAGGGAGGACCCCGGCGGGGAGGGTCCGGGCTGCTGTCCAGAGACCTTCCTGAGGAGGCCAGCTCATGTGTGCCCACGCCACGTGGGGGAATCAGGACCCTTGTGGCGTCGTCTCTGTTTCTGTCTTGAAATAGATAAATACACTTAAAAAACAGTAAATCCCTTAGCCACGCTGGTGTCCTCGGAGCTTAATTCCTTCAGCAGAGGGCCCCAGGTTTTCCTCGAGTATTTTCAGTTCCTCTCTACCCGCACCCCTTCAAAGAAGACAGAATCCTCAGTGTCCGGTCCGTGTTCCTCTTTTGGCCAGGACTTGAATTTCAAAAAGGCCACATCTGTAAAGAGGAGCAAAAGGGAAATACAAAGTTGATCAACGAACTTGACCGGCATCTCCTAACCTAAACATTTGGGGAAAGCGTGCTAAAACATGAGGAGCCCGATTGCCAGAGCCGCTCAGCATGCCTGGCAGGTCTGCCTGCTGAGATGTGGCACCTCAGGGGGTTCTGCACCCTGGGCATCCCGGGGGCACAGCAAAGGAGATGGGCACACCGGGCACCCCCTTTTCTTCCATCACTTTGTCTCAGGAGGCCAAGCCCAGGAAATGGCTCCACTGGTGGCGGGGTCACCTTAGGTTAGAAAGGATCGCATAAGCACCTGGTCGTCACACCCAGTCCCAGATGGAAGCTTCGCTACCCCGTCAGCCTCTGCCTCTCTCACACACAGACTCTGGGGTGTGGCTGTCCCCAGGAGAGCTCTGACACACCTCCCCCTCACTCCTCCACACCCGAGCTCTGGCCGCCATGGGGAGTGCTGCAGTCTTGGGTGTGTGACCCCACCCTCGGGCCACTGGACTGAGGCTGAATTGGAACCCATGCATGCGGCGTCCAAGGGCGCACACCTTGTTTCCAGGGCCACGCGCCTTCGCCCACCTGCGAGGTCGTTAAGAGCGCACCGTGAACACGGGGCAGGGTGTACTCCCTCTCTCCTGGGAACGGTCCATCTCTCATCACACCCCCGTGGGGGTAGCAAACGCCGCCATGGTTGTCATGGCCTTGTAACACAACTGCTGAGCCGTGTGGAGGGGCTCCCAACAGTGGGTGCACGAGTGTGACCATCCACCCCACCGCATTGCTGGTAACAGAGATGCCCACATCTGGGGGTTACAAAGAACAGAGATGTATTTAGTTCCTGGTTTGGGGGGTCCAAGGTCAGGATGAGGGCCTTCTCGGTGGTGGACACTGCAGAGTCCCAGTGGAGCTGAGGGCCTCCCAAGGCACCCTGGGGGCTGTGTGTGCACGCTCTTCTAACACTCCCAGGACTCTCTCCGCAGGCCCAGATGAAACCCCCACTTTACGGAACCCCCACCGCCCTCCCAGCCCACACCGTTCAGCACCCCAGACTAGGCTTCCACTTCTAATGCCTTCACAGCCCAACCCCATTCCCCCACAGGGACTTGTCCTTTCTTTTCTAGTGTTTATTTTTTCCAGGAGTAAAAGAGAGAAAAACAGAACCTTTAACGGGGTCCCCAAATCACAATCTAGTCCCAGCCTCAGACAGCCCAGGACCACGGCACCTGTGTATCAGGTATCAGGTGCACTCAGGGTGGTCTTTAGACCTGAACTTGGAACCCTTCCATGTGGGCCATGGTCCAGCCTTCCAACAGATGTCCCAACTGTGGGGGCACATTCAAACCACAGCAGACACCGCCCCAACTTGCTCCTGGGGCAAGCGTTCTTAGACCTTTAGGGGCTTTTAGTTTTGCAACTGAGCAGGCCCCTTAAAAGGGTCACCTGTGCTTTGTGGACTAATCACGCCTTTCTTTGCAGGACTTTCACATGCATTATCTCACCAGGTAGCAGGTTACACTCCTTTCAGATGAGAAACTGAGTCTGGGGAGGTGAACAGGCTTGCCTGAGGTCACCATGACTCCACAGCCGGGCAGAGCCCTCCCCAGTGGGGGTTTCTGAGTCTGCGTCATGCTATTTTAAAAGACTGCCTGTTTATGGGTTACCTCTGAAACAGCAGAGCCCAGCTCCCGAGGGTATTGGAGCAGGGACCTCGAGATTTCAGCACAAAGAGAGCAAGGGTCCTGCCTGGGTGCTGCAGGCAAAGTTCCCCATAGTCTCACCGAGGAGAGGATTTCGAATCAGAGATCAACCGACCACACTGCATTAATCAAGACACGAACACTGGTTTTGCACTCTAACTTCAGGGCAGGTCACGATGCCGTGCTCCATAGTGTGTGCAGAAATAATGCACCGTGCACACGCGTGTGTCAGCGTTTTCTTCCAAGTGTGGCCACAGAACAAGTGAGAAAAATACTGAAATAAGACAGTATTTATGGCTGAAGAAATTTAGCTTCACATAACGGTAATTATGAACGAGCGATTTTCCCTAATAAAATTACTGCAAAACAAAATCTGGAAGAACTAAGTGTTTCCCTCTGTTCGGTTTTATCCCGGAGCTCAGGAATGGTTGCGGGGAGAGAAAAGGGAGACAGCCAAGGGACCAGAGAGAGAGGGGGCGCCCCAGTGAGGCGGCCTCTGCGGAGGGTTGGTTTTGCTTTAGAAACTGGAATGTGTCCAGGCTTGATTTTTATTTTCAATTCACATTTCAGATCCAGCTCCCCAAACTCTTTGATCTTTCTCCCTGTCTCCTTACCCGGAAGAGAACCCTTGGCCTTCTCAGCTGGGAGCTGGGAGCACACGTGGAAAGCCTGGCTCCGATCCATATTCTTGCCAAATTTAGTCACACAAAGGGCCTGCGAGGGAAAGAAGAAAGGATGAAAGCGGCAGCCGCCGACTTCAAAGGCCGCGCCGCCGCGCCGG